ATGCCACGTCCACGGACACCGAGACCCAACAGCCCATTCTACAGATGGAGATGCTGAGGGCAGAGCCCCGGCCCCTCTCCCCGCCCCATGCAGTGCTGCGGCCCGGCCTCTGCGGGTTGCTCCTTCCCTTGCCATTTCCAGGGAAGAGGAAGAAAAAGAATGCAGTGTCTCTGACTCACCCCCAGGGGGCTTGATTCCTGACGCAGAACCAGTCGGGAAATGTCAGGGTGGTGCTGGGGGCAGCTGGCGGGAGGCCAGGATGGCTTCTGGCTTCTCGGTGGCCCCAGGGGGCTGTCGCTGGCAGATTGCAGACCTCACACCTGGGCCTCAGCACACAGCTGGGCTCTGCTGGGCCCTGAGGAGCCTCAAAGCATGGCTTATACCCCTGACGGGGCTCCCAGAAGATCCCCCTGGGGTAGGGGTGGGAACTGCTGCCCCAACTCTCAAACAATAGTACACAGTCGCTGGACCCAGGCCCCGTCCCAACCCCCCTCTACCCCAGGCTGGGGCGTGAGCCCCACGGCGGCTGTGTGGAGCCCTGGTTAGAGCCCTGTCAAGCACACGCCCCCTGCACCCCAGCATGGGCTGTTCCCCACCACGCCTCCTGAGGCTGGTGCACCAGTGCCCCCCCCCCCCCGCCATGTTCAGAGGGGAAGTCAAGGCTGGGAGAAGTCAGTTGCAGCAGACTTGCAAGCCCAAGGTGTCTGCAGGGCCCCATGGCACTGGGGGGAACAGGCAGGGGCAGGGGCTGGGGCTGGGGCGAGGGACACCCTTCTGTCTGAAGTGTCAAACATGGAGGTGCTTTCGCCATTCTGGACAGGACACTCCTGGGGGCTGCACTTGTTGGGGGGGGTCCCCGAGCTGCTCCAAGTGCCTCTGGCCACATCTTACCAGCTCTGATCTTTGGGGTGAGCCCCCCCACTCCCTCCCCAGACCTGTCCGATGGCCCTGGGTTTAGTTCCCAGGTGGGATATCAAGGCCAGGGAGAGAGCAGTTGCTGCTTGGGTTTTCAGAGAACTGAGATCCCAGCTGGGGAGCAGAGAGGGGGGGATGGGGAAGGGAGGCTGGGGGGGTGGGTGCCGGCCTTGGCGGTGGGGGTTGCCTGCGCACTCAGTTTCTGGGTCACTGGTCTTGGGGAATTCCCGGCTGCCCGGGGAGCTGCCTACCTGGTGAGTAACTGAACTGCTGCCCACACAGGACGCCTGACTCCGAGGGTGCCTCCCCCCAACCCCTGCCAATGCCATTGCCATGCTGCCCTCTCTCCCCGGGGGCACCCCGGGGAAAGACAGAGACAGGCAGGCAGGCAGGGGGCTGGCTGCCGCCCCCGGATCCCCCTCCCGTCCCAGGGCTCTGCAGGGGGCGGCTGGTGATTCAAGTCCCCCTGAATTAAGGGTTCTTCCTTTTCAGATGGGGCCTGGGGTGAATCAGTTCCTGGGGGCGGTGAGGCCGGGTCAGCTGCTGTCCAGAGCTCAGGCCCGAGGTGGGGGGGGGTAGTGAGGGGCCGCCGCAGGGCACCGGGAAAGTGGACACCACACCCCCTGCCACCGCGTAGTTCTGGGTGTCCTGGGCCCGTTCACCAATGGCAGAGGGTCCTGAGAGGCCCCTGCCTTGCTCCTTGGCCGTGGACGGTGGTAGGGTCATCAGGAGAATGGGGGCAGGGATGCCTCCTTCACAGGGAAGTGGACATTACTCTGTACAGGGGGCTTCCGTGCCGAGCCCTGCGGTGCGCTAAGCCGACGCGGACATCACTCCTGTCTTGCAGAGAGACTGAGGCCCAGAGACAGTCAGCCACTCCTCCAAAGGCACACCGTTCCCAGCTGGCAGAACCAGGCCTCCCACCTGGTTCTGAATGAGACCAAAGTCCAGCCTTTAAACAGCCAGGGCTCCCCCACCCCACAGCCTGCCCCGCCTTCTCCCAGCGGCATGGGAGACTTGGCACCAAGAGCTTTTGGGAATTGTAAAATGTTTTCAAGAACTATTTAGCATCAGCTCTGGGTATAACCCCGAGCCCATGGCCGCCCAGAGCACAAATGGGTATCAGACCGCCCCCCCTCCCCCGCCACTCCAGGCCTTCAAAGATGGAAGAAGGGGACACAGAGCCGGGGAAGGACGCTGGGGGCTGGGGGAGGCTGAGGAGGCTTCCTGGAGGAGGAGGGCCCGAGTGCTCTTGCTGTGCTCCCTGTGAGGTGCTGTGGGGCCTGGGGTCCAGACCAGCCTCACCTAACGGTAGCCCTGGCCAAGCGCCTTTGCCTCTCTGAGTCTGTTCCCCGCCCCCAAAAACAAACAAACAGCAGTGACGTCCTAGGAGGGACTTGCACAGGGTGCGTGCGAAGCAGAAGGGGAGGGGCTGGGTGGGCTCACGTGCATGCAAGGTGCACGCCAGAGCCAACTCTGAGCACTGGACAGCGGAGCCGTCTGGAGACGGCGGCCCTGCGCCCTGGCTGGCCCGGGGGGAAGCCCAGGGGGCCCCCGACAGCCCCCTTTACTGTGAGGCCGCTCAGATCCCCAGCAGGCCCAGGCTGCACATGAAGTCACAGCTGGAAGGGGCAGGGCTGGGGCTGCCACTCCAGGGTGGGGCCTGGGGTCATGACCTTGGGAGCAGGGAGCCAAGAAGGGAGGACGCCTTGTGTTGAGGGAGCTGGGGGGAAACGCACACCCTGCAGCACACAGAGGGAGGGAGCAAAACAAACTCCGGCCGCAGCCACGTTGCAGGCGGCTCCCGGGCTCGGACAAGCGGCTCCAAGACCCTGCGCGGCCGAGAGGCCCAGCGCACGTGCTGCCCGACATGGACAGGCCGGGGAGGCTGGGCCTGGGGCGCCGAGGGGCCCGGAGCACTTGGGGAGCACGGGCCACGTCAGGTACCGTGAGAGGGGAAACTGAGGCACAGGAGGGCGGGTAGAGCGGCCCTAGCATCAGAGTCTTCCAGGCCCTGATCCTACTTCCTGTTTCCTATGGAGTGGGTGGGGCTGTCAGTGGAGATTGGGAGTGGATTATAGGACATGCTATAGTGTCTGCTGAGCTAGAAGGCGGCTGCTGATATGCAACGGAGAGGCCGGGGGCAGAGCAGAGGACGGGCAGCGGCCCCCAGGAGAACCAGAGCATCTTGGGAGAGACCCAGGTCAGGGGACAGAGGACCCTGGTCAAATGGATTTGGGGTCCAGGTCAGGAGGGCCAGGTTGATCAGGTGGCCTGGGTCTTGAACCTGAGGTCAGGGTGATGGGAGTGCCAGGAGATGCTGGGGGCAGTGGGGGGTGGGGAGTGATAAGCTGGGGGGGTCCTGGGAGGGGGTGCTGCTGAGCCCCCGGGGCAGGTGTCTAGGCAAGAGCAGATAGCCAGCCACTTGCCACTTGCCTGCGGGCGTGCATACCAGAGACAGCCCTGAGGCCCTGGGAAGGCCCCAGGCCAACCCTCACTTCCCCAAGGAAGAGGTGTAGGGGGCAGGGAGCAGGAAGGCGAGCCAGGCTGGGCCCCGCAGCCTCCTCCCTGCTGCTGGGCAGTGCCAGCTGGGATGGGGACTTTTATCACCCCACATCCGATCTGAGGCCCTGCCGGGGAGCGGGGGAACAAGGGCCTGGATGGGGCAGGGTGTGTTGTGGGGCGGGGGTGGGGGGGATGGTGGCGGGCTCCAGGGCCCGTCCTGGCACGATGAGGGAGGAGCTCGTGGCTGGGCAGGTCCGGGATGTGGCAAGAGGCAGGAGCTAGGGGGCACGGAGGATGGGCGTGGGGGTGGGCAGGGGTGGCCAAATACCCCTCCTGGATCTCTCAGGCCAGGGCCATGGGGAGGGGGAAGGAGACGTCTCCTGGCACATGGGGGCCTTGGCAGATTTCAGGACAGTAATGAGCCAGTGTATCACGACTTTCTTTTTTTCTTTTTTTTTTTTTAATGTTCTTGCTATCTTTCATTCTGTCCATGTCCCCACCACTAGTCCCCTACCTGTCCCCATGCATTCGCCAAAAGCAGACACCAGAACTGGGGACCCTACCTCCGAGACCCTAGGGATGTCTTTTGGGGCATCCCTCTGCCGTTCTTTAAGGCTGAGCTCCATGGGCTTCCATAGAGGGTCTAGGAGAGCCTGCCGCTCGCCGCCCCCCACCATGCCTCAGCACCCCGAGGAGGAAAGAGGGGTCTTTGCCATCAGGGGTCCCTTTCAGAATGTTAGTGGAAGCTGCCATGAAAATCCTCCCAGACTGCCCCCAAAGAACTGAGTCGCAGCCTGCCAGCCCCCTCTGCAGTTTCAAAACCAGGAGGCCGGGACCCTCCAGGGTCCCAGGCTGGGGTTTCCCTTTGGAGCCCCTCTTAGCCACCAGCGGCTTGGAGGCGTCCACCTCCGAGGTGGCTCCCAGTGCCCACGCTGTTTTCTGCTTTATTACTGTCTAAAGTCCAAGCTAGGCTCCAGCCCCTCTTTTCCGGAACCTCCTCTTCAGCTGGGCCCTAGCCCGCTTCTTCCCATTGCCCCCCCCCAAGAGCCCCCCGACCCCGCGTGGTGGGGGCCAAGGAGGCACTGGCCTCAGCTGCCTGTAGTCTCTGACCACCTCCCCTAACTCAGGTGAGTCGGGGCCGTCTGGGGTGTCCACCATGTCTGGGGGTGGGGATTGGGAGGAACCCCCCGCTGACCCAGCCTGGGGGACCCCTGCCCACTCTGGGCATCATCAAGTGAGTGCCAGGGCAAGCCACTGGGGAAAACCACAGAGCGTATGTTGAAGACTTCATTGTAATTTTATCAAATTCTTAGAAGAGGGAAAAAAGTCTGCTCTCCCCTCCCTCCCCCCTCTCTCGTCCCCCACCCCCCCACTCTCACTTTTCTTCCATTCATAATTTCCTATGATGCACCTCAAACAACTTCCTGGACTGGGGATCCCGGCTAAATATAGCTGTTTCTCTGTCTTACAACACAGGCTCCAGTATATAAATCCGGCAAATTCCCCATTTGAGCATGAACCTCTGAAAACGGCCGGCATCTGAGGTCTCGTCCAAGGTCCTCTGGAGCACACAGCCCATGATGAAGATCTTGGCGGCAGGTAAATGCGCCCGCCCCGCGCCGGCCGCGGCGGCCACTTGGGGCCCTGGGCCAGCGCAGACTCCCGGACGCTCGGGGCGCCCGCCGGGGGCGCTGGGTGGCGGCTGGGAGCCAGTGAGCGCAGGCACATGGTTCGGGCACCGTGCGCCCAGCTCGTCCCGGGCCAGCAGGTTGGCAGCAGGGAGGGGGCCACCGCAGCCTTCCTCCTCCTCCTCTTCCTCCTCCTCCTCCTCCTCCTAGCTCCCGCCGCTCGCCCGCGCTGCTCTTCCTTCTCTGCTCGCTCCCGGATTCACCCACCCTCTTTATTTTTCTTTCTTTCTTTCCGCTTTCTCTTTTCCAACCGCGTCCCGGGCTGCTCCCGGGGAGGGGCGCTGGCGGCCGAGCAGCCGAACAGCTCGCAAACTCCTGCCCGGCCCGCGGGGAGCAGGTGCCGCCTCCATCTGCCCGGTGCCTGAGCTAGGTGAGATGGGGGTGTCGGAGGAGGGGGGACCCTCTCCCCTCCCCAGCGGTCTCCCAGCCCCAGCACTGCCTGCAGATGCTGGGAGCAACCGGGGAGCCCAAGAGAAGTGAACTTGCGGGGCTCCACCATTCGTCGCGCTGCTGCAGCCGGGATGGGGGCTCTGGGGTGGGCTGACCCAGCCCCGACCACCCCCAGGTGCCCACTGCTGGGCCGTGGAAGGGCCGTGGTCTGAGGGTGCAGGGGGCGGGCGCCCGAGGGGAGGGCCGCTCCTGGACAGGCCCGGACAGCTCCCAGCTCCGAGCACCTTTTCCCTGCCCTCCCTCCCCGCCCACTGGGCTGCCTGCGACCTTTTCCCTCTTCTCTTTCCTGTTTGCACCATTTCCTCTCCCTCCCAATGCCGGCCTGGGGGCAGGTTGGGTATGTGTGTGTGTGTGCTAGTGTGTGGGACCCCCCCCCCCAAATTCTCCCTGCCCTAACCCAAGGGACTGGACAAGGGACAGTAGAGGAGCAAAGAGTTCGCTAGGGCCTGGACCAGGATTTGGGGCTGGAGGGTGAGGACCTTGGAGAGGGGTGTGGCCCCACTGGGAAAGGACAGAGAGGGAGGAGGGAGGGAGGGTGGCAGAATTAGGGGACTATCAGCCCAAGGAGTCAGAATCAAGCTGCGGGCTTGGGAGGGAGAAGGGAGACCCTAGGAGCGCCCCCCCCCTTCCCCAGCGTGCCCCATTTGGATGAGGTGCACTGCCTGGGGCTGGTGATGGGACAGCAAGCTCGGGAATCCCAGGCATCCTGGGAGGGGGGAGATAAGGCCTGGGAGGGGTTGATGCCTTCCAGCCAGAGGGCCAGGGGCTTTGACCTGTCTGGGGAAGGGGGTAGGGGTTGGATGTCTCCCTGCCCCTTGGCTCCTCCTCTTAACCCCAGAGACTGCAGAAGGAGATGGGAAAGTGGAGAGAGAGAGAGAGAGAGAGAGAGAAGAGAAGCAGATGCTGAGACAAAGTGAAAACCCCACCCCGCCCAGGGAAGACAGAGGGGGGTCAGGGAGTCCCTCCCACTGGCATCCAGTGTGACCCCCAAGCACCCGTCCCACCTCTGCGCTCACGGCTCCTCCCTGCCTCTCCCCAGGAGTCGTGCCCCTGCTGCTGGTCTTGCACTGGAAACCCGGGGCGGGGAGCCCCCTTCCCATCAACCCCGTCAACGCCACCTGCAACACACACCACCCATGCCCCAGCAACCTCATGAGCCAGATCAGGAGCCAGCTGGCACAGCTCAATGGCACTGCCAACGCCCTCTTTATTCTCTATGTAAGTTAACCCCCAGGGGACAAGAAGGGAGGGAGGGCCCGGGAGGAGGGGCGAGGAACAGAAACCAGGCAGCAGGCAGACAGGAAGGTGCTGCCGAGAGGGCTGTGGGTGTCTCGGGGAGGGGGGGGAGTGTTGGGGGGGACGCCCAGGAAGAAGGTGAGGGCAGTGGGTGAAAGTGCAAGTGTGTGGTGCGCCCGCCGAGGCGAGACAGGCAAGACACCACATTTTCCTTTCTGTCCCCGTGTCGTCCTCGTGGTGCGGATGACGATGACAAGGCTTGCACGGCCCAGGCCTTGATGTCTAGCAGGTGCAGTCGCACCTACCACTGCTGCTGCTGGTTCCCACGCCAGTTCTAGCTGTCTCCAGGGCAAGGCGTTGAGTCCTTGTGCTATGGGTGGGCACACTGAGCACCCTCCAGCTCCTGCCCCAGGAGCTGGCTGGAGGCAGGGCCGGAACACTGCCCCCCTGACTCCTGGGTTCACCTACATTCTGTCCCTCTACTCCTCAGTACACAGCCCAAGGGGAGCCGTTCCCCAACAACCTGGACAAGCTGTGCGGCCCCAATGTGACGGACTTCCCGCCCTTCCACGCCAACGGCACGGAGAAGGTCAGGCTGGTGGAGCTGTACCGCATCGTGGCCTACCTTGGCACCGCCCTGGGCAACATCACCCGGGACCAGAAGACCCTCAACCCCACGGCGCACAGCCTGCACAGCAAACTCAACGCCACGGCGGACACGCTGCGGGGCCTGCTTAGCAACGTGCTGTGCCGCCTGTGCAGCAAGTACCACGTGGCCCACGTGGACGTGGCCTATGGCCCGGACACCTCGGGCAAGGACGTCTTCCAGAAGAAGAAGCTGGGGTGTCAGCTGCTGGGAAAATACAAGCAGGTCATGGCCGTGTTGGCGCAGGCCTTCTAGGTGGCCGGCCGTGAACTGATGGGTCCCAGGAGGGGGATCCGGAGGGGAGGGAGGAGAGGGGTCTCCAAACATGGTTGGGGCCCGGGGCGCCGCTCAGTGCAAATAGGGGCTGCTGGCAGACCCCAGGAGGTTTCTGGCCAGCCCTCTCCTGTCTGGGGTGGGCTGAGATGAAGCGGAGCCGAGTCTAAGTTTCCATAGGCAGGGCCTATTCGCCACATCCCGTCTCCTAGGAGACTGCAGCCAGGGTGTGGGACCAGGGCGGGGAGTAAGGGTCAAACTTCCGCCCCCCACTTGCTGTCCCCCCTCAAGTCCTGTGCCCCATGGGCAGATTGCACAAGGTATCTACCGCAGGGGTCAGGGGAGCTGCCCAACCCCAGGGGGTGACCCCAATGTGTGCCTTTGCTATCCTGTAAGTAGGTTTTGGAAGGCAGGGAGCTGTCTGGCTGGGACTCAGATAGGCCAGGGGGGCTGGAATCCAGATGGACTCCTGTCCCTGAGGAGTTGGGTCAGGGCGACACAGAGGAGAGACCCCAGGTGGGATGCTGCCTCCTCTCGGGCATGAGTGCAGAACTCAGGGTGAGCGGTGGTCAGGTGGAAGGTTCCAGACATTCAGGCTCTTGGAGAGGCAGCGAGGCCACCCTCAGGCCTGGGAAGGAGAAGAGCCCCCAGAGTCCCTGGCGGGTCCCCCTTCTCCTCTTCCCCTGAGTCTTTCCTGCAGCCGGGGGTGGCCAGGGTCTGACAGCTGGACCCAGAGGTGTGGTATGTGGAGGTGGGTGGGGGCGAGAGCAGGAGCAGGTGGGAAGTCAGGCGAGGAGCTTTGGAGAGTACCTGGGGGGGGGGGGTCTTCCTTCTGGGTGAGGGTCTGCAAGATGGGGAACGGGGGTAGCTCAGAGTAGCAGCTCACATCCGGGGCCCACGGAGGCCCTGGAAGGTCACAGGAGGATACCTGAGGGAGACCAGAGGCCACCTCGGGTCCTGAGAGCAAGGGGCAGCAGAACGTATGGTCAGGGTCTCAAGGATGCTTGAGATCCAAGAGCGCTGTGTGTCTGACCCGGCGTGAGTGTCTATTTATTATGATGTCCTATTTATGTTAACTTATTGGTGCTTTAAATGGCAAGGTTAATTCCCCTTTCCCCGCTCCCTACTCAACAGAGATAATAGGATGGCTCCTTAGCACACACAGGAGCCAGGGCCTGATTTGGAAGTTGATGATGTTACAAATGAGATAAGGCTTAACGGGTGATGGTTGCGGAAGGGGCAGGATCCGAGAACATCGGCAGGCACCCTCGCCCCCACGGCCGCTCGCCCTCGGGGGCGTCGGGGCCCAGGCCAGTGTGTGCAGCGGCCTGGTGTTTGGCTGTGTTTTTTTTCTTGAGTGCAGGGAGCTTCCTTGGCACTGTGCTCCCTAGCGCCCCCTGGACTTGTGCTGCGAGGGGGCGCCCAGGAGTAGTGGGACCAGGCAGCCCTGTTGCTTTTGTACCCTCACTGCACTTGAGGGGTCCTTGAGTGAGCCTGACCCAGCACCCAGCACAACGGGGAAGCCTGGGTGGCCAGAACACCCACAGAGGGGTGCGCTGGCCTGGCAGGGCGAGCTGCTGCCCCCCGCTCCTGCAAGGAGAGGAGCAGCATGGCCCGAGATGCCTGGGACTCAGACCAGGAAGCTGTGGTCCCTCCTGCCCCGCCTCCCTCCCACTCCCACCCATGTCTGGGCTCCCAGGCACGGAACCCGATCTCTTCCTTTGTGTTGGGGCCAGGCGAGCGGGAGCAACGCCCTCCAGTCTGGGAGCCTGGGAGGGAGGCCGCCGAGCCGGGGCAGCTGCTCAGAGCAGCATCCTGGCTCCTGCCCAAACTCCAAGCGGGGCGGCGGTCCTAGCGGTTCAGCTAGAAACAGTTACGGTACCAGGGACGGTACTGGTACTTGACACTCACTTTGTACCTTTCTCTGTCGTTTCTCTACGCACTTTACCTGGATGGCAGGCGGGCAGGCCCTGCGGCCTGGGGGCGGGGTGGGGGAGGCTTAGGAGGTCCCCCACCCCACCCCACCAACCGCAAGACGAGGATAGGTCTCGTGTGGCCAAGGAGACCATGGCAGGTGCACCTTTTTGGAGGCCGTTGAAATGTGGGTCCTATGCACTGTCGGGCAGGATGGCAGCCTGCTGCCCTCCCACCTGTCTCCTCCGACGGCTCAGCTCTGGACAGCTGCACTTCTCCGAGCTGAGCTGCAAGAAAGACACACTGGTCTGAACACCAGAATGGATGCTTCCGTGGCCCAGGCCCGGCTGGATCATCTGTCAATCATCTCATCTCCCTGTGGACACCTGGCAGCCCCTGGCTCCGCGGTGCTCTCTCCGGCCAGCCTGGCCCCTGCCCCGTCAGCGCCATCATCATCCATCATCAATGCTCGTTCCAGATGTGATTCTGGCCGGCCGACGCCCACTGTGCGCGACATCGCCGAATTACAGATCTTCCGGGGGTGAGCAAGTCTGGTGGGGCAGGCAGCCGAGCCCCTCTGAGTTTCCGCCTGCTGGTGTTGGCCCGTACCTGGTGTCCTGGGCCAGAGGAGGGGGCAGCGGCTGTGAGCACGCACACGGGGTAGGAAGGACAGTCTTTTTGCAGTTTATCAAGAGAGAAGTAGTGGGGTCCTTATTTATTATTTAAAAATGTAAGCAAAAGCAATGCACTGCTGGTTTACCTGTCTCTCCTCCTCCTCACCCTCCTTCCTCGTCCTGCGCTGGGGAGTGGGGGAGGGGCTTCCCCTCTGACCAAAGCTCTGACTTGCTGGCCCCCCCAGCCCAAACATGGCGAGGGGGCCCAGAGCCCTGGAATCCAGCGGGGTGGGGAGCAGTTCCACCTCACACCATGCCTATGTGCCTGCCCTGGAATCCTCGCCCCGCCCACCCCGCACCCCCACTGCGGGCTCAGTGGGCCCACCGTGTGGCCTTACTTCTGTTTCTCTCCTTTCCAATCCATTGGAAAGGACCTGGCAACGGATTCCTCTGTGATGAATGTACCCTGTGGGAATGTTTCATACTGACAGATTATTTTTTATTTATTCAATGTCATATTTAAAATATTTATTTTTTTATACCGAATGAATCCTTTTTTTTAAGTAAAAAAGAAGAAATGAATAAAGAATCTGTTCTTGGTAAGCCTCCGCGAGTGTTCTGCTGGGGGGGACAGGGGCTGGGGGCACGGGGGCCAGTGCTGTCGTGGCACTCAGTGGAGAGGAGGCGGTAGGAGGGGGCTCCGTCCCTGGGCCGGGCAAAGCGAGGTGGGCGGTGCTCTGGTGGAGAGCTGAGTAGTTCTCATCCCCAGTGAACGAGGGGCAGACTGAGGCCCCAGGGAGACGAACCCACGCGCTTAGGGGCCCTCGCGGGGCTAGAGCCAGGCAGGGCTGGCCGTCCAGCTGTAGGTCGCCCACTTTTCCCCACTCTGTGTACCAAGGTCTCCGCCACGGGGAACAGGCCCAGGAAGGCCCAGGGAGGTGCCTGGAGTCACACAGGGTGCTGGGGCCAGAGCCAGGCCTGACTGCCGGCTCCTCTGGACTTTGGCGGTTTCCCCGAGTGACACCCTGGGGGACTCCCTTCCACGGCACTCCCAGCTTCCTGGAACCCCGTCTTTGAGGAATGACGGAGGTTGGCAGCAGGCGGCCACAAACACGGGGACCCAGTGTCCCCTTGATCCCTGCCCCCGGGGATTCCACAGGTAGCATGCACTCCGGGGGATGTGGCCATGTTTCCCAGGGGCCCCTCCTTGCGCATTTAGGAATGTCTGTGAGTGTCAGGGCCTTCCGGAAGCTCCCAGGCTGGCGGGACGTGAGACAGGCCCACGTCTGGCGGGCAGAGCAGCACAGCACCACCACCAGGGTCGGCAGGGGGCGGGGGCTGACGTCTCTGTCCCAGGAAGGGACTAGCCCACAACAGGGGCCCACCACTGGGGCCAATCAGAATTGTGCAATCTTGGCCTCACCCCTGCCCAGCCCCCCAGTCCCCCACCCCAGCCCTGCCACCAGACGGTTCGTGTGCACGTTGCGGTGGGAGAAAAGCTACCCTATTCTTTCATGTCTGCCACACCAGGCACAAACCACCAAGGGCCACGCAGGCAGCTGCTGGGCAGGGCGAGACCAAGACCGAGACCGCCGGCCCCCAGCTGGTTCAAGGGCGGCTCCAGCGCCTCCCGCCCCTGCCCCTCGAGCAGCTGGCGGGTTCTTGGGCCAGGCCACACCCACCCAGGGGTGGGGACACCTCCCGCCCCCTTGCTCAGGGGAGACCAAGTGGAAGCTTCTCCAAAGAAACCTTTTTACTAGGAAACTAGAGGAAAACAAAACAAATAAGCTGGGAATGCTACAAGGTGGCGGGATCCTAACCGGCCCGAGGGCCTGGCTGGGTCTCCCTCTTCCCTCAGTCTGGGCAAGGCCCTGCCCTGGCCACAGAGAACAAAGGACTGTTAATTGGGTATTGGGTCACCCTCCAAGGGGGCGGGGAAAGCCATCATTTGGTGGGGGGGAAGGGAGCCCGGGTCCTCGCCTGGCTGCACCGCGTGCCGTCCGGGAGACCCTGGGTGAGCTCAGCTCTCTGATCTGTGACACTGCAAGAATCCCTGGTGACGGGTGCTGTTCTGTCTTACTCACATGGCTGCCCAGAGCAGCGAGCGAGCGAGTGAGCGAGCCAGAGAGAGAGAGAGAGAGAGAGAGGTGGGGGCTTTGGCTCTCGGCACCCAGCCCGCAGGTGGAGATGGGTTCAGCAGAGGGCGTCTCAGACACGTGGCACCCTCTTGGCAACAGAAAAAGAAGTGGCTGCCCCCACGCAGTGTCTGTGGAAGGGAGGATCCTGACGGCTCTGAGTCCAAGGCCATGGCCAGGCTTGGTAGGACAAGACGACAGTGACCCCTGATGGCAACCTGAGTCCCAGGCTGGGGGGGACGGACGGACGCCTGGCCAGAGAGGCTGCCGGACCTCAGGACGGAGTAGAGCTCTCAGGAGTTCAGCAGGAAGTAGTAAA